TTATGTTGATCTTCAAAGAAGTAAAATCTTCTACTCTTTTACAAAAGCTCAAGTTCATATCGATAAATTTGATCGTAATGTTGTTATGGAGTGCGAGATGCAGTTATTGATGAATAACAAGACATGGGAGCTAGTGAAACTACCAATGAATAAAGCTTTGATCGATTGCAAGTGGCTATACAAGCTGAAAGAAAATCCAACTTATTATAAAAACTTATTATCTTCAAAACTAGATTGATGATTAGAGTTTCCACACAATAGAAAAATGTGAACTATAACAAAGTATTTTCACTTGTAGCAAGGTATGCTACAATTTGTCTAGTAAGTGCACTAGTTATAATATTTAATCTTGTAATGAATTTGGATGGATGTAGTTATACTTTTTTATGAAAATCCAGAAGAAAAAATTTACATTAGATAACATTTTGGCTTTAAAGAGAATGGTCGAGAGAAGTTGGTTTGTATATCGCTGAAATCATTATATGGATTGAAACAAGTTCCTATGCAATTGAATGTGAGATTTGATGAATTCATGAAAACATAAGAATTTTCAAGGAGGGAGTATATATGAAGAACGTAAATAATTAAATTTTCAATCCTATTATTCTAGTACTCTAAGTACAGTACATGTTAATCTTAACAAAAAATCAATGTAATGATGATAGATGGATGAATTAGATGAAGTATCTATTCGAGATGAAAGATTTGGATAAGTCTAAGAAAATATAAAGTATAAACATTCATATGGATTTGATGAAGAAGAGACTATTGTTGAGTCAAAGCAAGTATGTGCAACATGTATTTGACAAATTTCACAGGGTAGACTTTTAAAGAGTATGGACTTCCTTGTCAAAATATTTTAAACTTTTCGCGGTTTAATGTACACTTAATGTTATGAAGAAAGAAAATATGTCTTGTGTTCCTTATGGAAAAGTTGTGGGCAAAGTTATGTAATTGATGGTATGCACAAGGCCTAACAATACTCTTGCAATGAACAAGTACACATCAAATCCAGGAAATCTGCACGAGCAAGCAATCAAATGGATTCTCATATATTTGAAGAGTAATAAGGATTATGGTTTATTCTTCCATATTTTTGGAATAATCCCATATACTTGTTAGAATAAATTGATGCTAACTCTGGACAAGATCTAGATAAGAGGAAATCTACAAATGGGTATGTGTTTACACTTGGATGTGAATGCATTAATTGGATATATACCTTGCAAAAGTACGTTATACGATCTACAACGAAAGCTAAGTATGTAGTGAAAGCAACAATAGCAAAGCAAGCTATTTGGTTGAATAAGCTTATCACTAACATGAGATTGAAACAACAGGTTGTCAATCTTCATTGTGATAATTAGAGTGCATTACATCTTGCTGCAAATCAAGTGATTTATAACATAGTGAAGCATATCGACATCATGTATCACTTTATTAGACATGTTCTTTATGTGTTGACAAAAATTATTATTTCAAAAAGATGTAGGAAACGTTGTGTTATTATGCAAGTTTTGCATGAGTAGCACAAGTAAAACTTGCTAGCAATTATTTGTTGCTTTTATATATTTTTTACTCTATCATGTTTTCATTGCTATTTAATTCTAGTTAACTCTTGTTTATAGAGGAAATTTTTTTGTTAGGTTTACTTTTAGTATTTTTCATAAAAAAAGTATATAGATTAAGTAGTTTATCATTTTCTCAACATGAATTAAGGGTAGATTGTTAAGGTTAATTCAAGTTTCAAGTTAAACTTAAGTTAATCTAACTTAAATTAGATCTTGAAATAGTTACTCTAATTTGGGTTAATCATAGGGTTTGAGCTACTATGTACATATGGGAGTGCAGAACAGATCTTGATTTGAACAACTATGCAAGTTTTAAATAAAGGATTTGTTGTCCTCGTGGACGTAGTCCAAGATTGGATGAATCGCGTAATTTTATTTTTATTTTATTTTTATTTTATTTTATCATTAATTCTTGTGTTTCGTCTAACATCTTAGCATGTGCAATCATAGCTTGCGTCTAGATGTTGGAAACGTCACCTATAATAACACACTCTTGTCAACTGTTGATTTTTGTGTTTTGTCCAACATCTTGTTGTAGTTATTGTAGCATGGCAATCAAGTTGTGCATCTAGATGTTAGAATTAACATCCAACTTAATGATGGACTATGGTGAAAATGTTACTGACGGAAAATTTCACAAGGCTCAAAATAACATTTGAAGTGTCAAAACTGGAAGTAGTATCACTCAAAACAACAATACTTAAAGTAATATTAATAGTAGAATAACAAGTGCAATATTCCAAAGCTCTTCATTTGTACTGCTTGAACATTATTGGAAAACTCTAAAGTTAAAAAGCCGGTATCAACTCTAAGTTGTAAAAAGTTTGCATCATCTTCAAGTTGGAAAAAGTCTGTATTGATTCTCAATTGAAAAGAGCGAGCTCAATCAACGAAACTATTGTCGGTGGTAAATAATTATACACAAATTTGCATTCAACAACCTTCACATTTGATGTATTGTTAGATTTAATATCACTTTTTAAACACTAAGTTTTCAAGATGAAATGAAAATTACATCTTGAAATGAAAATGAAAATATGATTCATAACTTTTCACTTCATTTCATAGTAAGTTGAAGTCTGGAAATGCAACAACTATTATGCAAAGTAAATTTTGAAAATAATCATAATTTGGGAGTCACAAATGAACTTAGCCTGATTAAATTGATTTTTTACGTCATTGTGATGAACTTTATGTCTTCATGAACATTCTAAAAGTTGAAAAAATAGTGTGATATATTTATCATAATCTATAACAATATGTGTTTTGCATGTTGTGATGCAATACCTATATGCATGAAATTTTAAATTTGTTATGTTTGCATTTACCATAATTGAAACAAATTTCATCATTGTTATGACTTTAATTTAATCAAACTTTTATCAATGACAACATTGAGGTTGTTTTTGTTAAAATTTAATTAGTTTAAATAATATAATGAAAATGATATTCTTGCCAGTATATAATTGTTACCATTTAATTGATTTTTTGGAGTAAAACAAAGAATATTTGACAGATTTTGCATTGAATATTAACAATATATTATGAAGAGTTTCTTACAAATGTATGCTAAAATAAAATTATTTTTTTCAATAAATATTTTTTTATAAATATTATGTAAATATTTATTTTTATTAGATGTATATTTTGAAATTTTTTTATTGTTAACCGTTTTGGTGTATGACAATCTGAAGTTAATATTTAATATAACAACAATGTATGTTGTCATCCAATATGTAGTTGCATAATGAAAAAAATTCAAGTTTAGATATGGCACAATAAGCTTAAAAGTATTACACTCTGAACTCATTTGGATTATATAAAACATGTTGTGATGACATGTCTTGATTATAGCATTATTTCTTGAACATACTTTTCATTGAATTCTAATTTTTTTGACAGATTGCATTAGACTCAAAACTAAAAACTATGCTGCAGTTTGGTAAAAATATACATTACAACAAAATGAACATTTTTTGAAACAAACCTTGAATCCTACATTAAATAAAATCTGATTAAAATCTCAATATGCATACTTTCATGTATATTATCTATAAAGATACATTTCATTGATTTGATCAATTTCAAATTCAGTGTAAAATTTTTATCATCAAATTTTCATCTCAAAAAAATATTATTTAGAGACACATATTTCTTTCTTTGTAGAAATACAGTAGAATAAGTTGATGATTACAAGTGAGATCTTGAATTTCTATATGTGTACTTAGATTTTACTTTTCAATTTGCTATCAAAATTTAGCCAACTGATTCCAATTTTCTGTATGCATTATTCTGTTGCAAACTACCTGCAGATCAAATTTGATACTTCAAAAAACTATTTGTTCTTTAAAAACACTTCATCACATGCATCTCGATACAAATGTCAAAAAAAAAAAAAACTCTTATCTGTAACAAAGTCAGTTATTTGGTTTATTTCTAGAATTCATCTCTTTTGCTTCTCAAACTTGTATTTTTGTTCCAAATATCTCTTAAGTAGATTCTAAAACTATTCAGAACATTGGAAAATATCCGAAGTAGAGTTTTTTGTCAAATTTTCAAATCTAGTAAAAAGAAAAGGCTTTTTTTTTTATATCATCGTGAAGTTAAATCAATGTTATTTGAGCAAATTTTTTTAGATCTAACCTAAACATAAGCCATTATATAAATGTTGATCTGAATTCAATTTTATAACGCATAATAAATGAAACCCAAATTAATATATTTTTTTGATTCTAAAATATTAATTATTATGCCATGAAAAAAATACTAGAATTTTCTCTGGAAAGTCCAATAGTGATGGGTACTAATCCAAATGCCAAAAATCATCACATTTATACAATGCTAGGTTTCACTCTGCTGAAAACAGTAAGATTAGAAGACAATTTAGGTACAGAAGATTCATCACCTGTAATAATGAACAATGTCGAAATATGAGGACAGAGAGAAATGCATCATTAATCCACATGTATGAATTTAATGTGAATAAGCGGAATGTAATTTTAAGCTGATTGTATCTATACGTACCTTAAGCCAATTATGAACGTACGGAGGTCCGATGACGCGAAAAATAATAGCTTTCAAACATTTGTCTATCTACAGATCGAGATAATATCGCGCTCCAGACAGATACAAAGCCGACTGCAGCTAATGTTGATGAGCTAAAAGCCCCATCCATGAGATCATCAGATCAGAGCGTAAGTATGAAGTCCTATAGAATGATCCGAAACGAAATTCATCATGAATCTACAAACAAGACCTTCGTATCGGATACATCTCCAGTTACTATGCTTCTGCAATTAGCGTGTACAAGACCGAGATTGTAGTTGCAAGGAGGGACAGAGTTCAAGGCTGTTGTGCTTTGTATGCCCTTCCTTTCACTTATAAATTAACGAATTCGTTAAGAAAAAGAGCTCGATCACATAACTACCAGAAGCCGTCCAATCCAACAGACCATAACCAATTCTAGCAGACTGCTATCGTCTCGTCAGACAGTAGCAGGCTTCTAGTGATTTGTTTGGAACTGTCACCTTTTCTCTCTGGAAGAACATGTCATGGGAGGCAGTCCAGTCTTTGTCTTCTTGACCTGTATCACCCAGATGTCAACGACAAGTGACAAAGAACAACACAGTTGCTCGCGACAAGATTGCCTCAGCCACATCCATGGCAGAGAGCACATAAAGCTCCAGGCAGAACTATGGCTAAGCAGAAAATACAGACCCACTTCCTTTAGTCAGTTCTGGTCTTTGAACATGATGTTGAGTACATCGAGCATTCGTCGTGCATGTTCTTCATGTTTTGCATGGAAGAGATGCTTTGAATCCATCTCGAACAATGTCACAAGATGCTTTGCAAACAACTGGCACGAAGTAGCAGTATGCTCGACTCGACTCGACTTCTAGCTTGTTATGGACACGACGTGGACTCCGCAGAGTGAGAGTCATAACGGGTGGATCGAACTCGCTAAGGATGCTCGTCAACCTCATTTGCGTGGATGGATCGCAAAGAGACCGGAGAGAAGACTGAATTGACATGCTGCCAAGGCAGACGGGACTTGTTTTCAAGATTCTCGGGACCACCTTCTCCAATTCTTCAGCATTCTCAAGATTTGAGAACACGAAGTTGTATATTTGAGGGTGTTGGGTTCTGGGAAGATCGCATAAACATCATAGCAGCAAGTATGTGATGCATTCGTATGACAAACTATTGCAACTCAGCTCCAGCACTGCTATAATTAATCAGAACATTCTCTAACGTATAAGTCAGCTTCTAATAGAACCCATTCCAATCTAATCTGCAAGATAAAGTTATTTACTGTGATAGATAACAAGATCCTTGAGGGTGCAAAGGCATCGCTGATTCAGAGCGCACCTTCAAAACGCAAACGAGCATAGCCCGTTTTTGCTGTAACGCTTTGATCCTTCTTTGTAACTGCAGTCAACCTCAACGGTGGGACATCAAATGTTGGAGTGCAGGTGTCGTACATTCAGATATGTGATGATTCATCGATCATCCACGTCTGACAAGTCTCGAAGCCAAGAAAATGAAGTTCAGAGAGAACCTGATCACCTCTAGCCAGCAATCCTAAATCTTAATTAGAGTTCTGGAAGTACCTTGTCAACCTTATCGCTTCAGATGACTCAAGCTTTACTAGTGCGTACTGAGTCTACATACCTGCCACGTCTCTGACGATGCGAGCATGCCGGCTCTGTCGAAATCATGTACCAGTAGAGTTGAAGTAAGCCGACAGCACTAGAATTCTCAACTGCAAGTCTTCTCAGACATACTGCTCGACCTCAATCTCGACAGAACGAACCTGGTAGGCACGATAGCGCTAAACTCTGAGGTTGAGGAATACAAAGACAGATGCATATATAGCGTCTCAGACCAGAATGTCGGACATTGAAAACATGTCACTGAGATTCAGAAATGTCGAAACCTTCTTCCTCTCTTAAGCTATACGCAAAGAAGCTTATTGGGCTAGGTCTAAAACTGGTAAAACATTTGGCACATATTCAAGACTGGAAGTCCCACTTGCAAGAAGACTTCAACTTGATAGATGTGAGTCTCCTAATGCTGCCTACGAACCGTAATTTTTGGGGTTGAAAGTGTTGGCTTTGTCAACAGCGGATCCGGGAGACCAGATCGCTACTCCGTGCAACATACACACATAATTGTTTAATGTTTCTTGCGGACTTGATCGCCGTGATTGGTGTATATACCGAAGAATTACAGGACTAAAATCACATGATTACGAGAATGGCGAGTGCGGAGGAGATGGATGTGGAACTCGAATCACGTGGTCAGCTTACATTCTGGAATAGTGCAGCCGGTTGAACCGGACCGGGTGGGAGTGAGGATCAAAGGTGATGAAATACAGTAGTTGATTCTCCCGGCTTTATCTCTCGACAACGCTGATATAAAACCAGCTCGAGCAATACCTTCCATATCACAGATCTAGCATTAAGGATCATTTGGGAGGGGGGCGACCTTCCGTTTTGTTGTCTTACAGCTTCGGCTTACGAGGGCTTGCTGGTTCAGTTTCTCATATAAGGTACTGGAAAAGTCAGTTCCTGTTGCAATCGACAGCTTGGTGCAGAGTGATAGTGGCTTATTAATATTTGATTATCATATAACTGCATGTGTAGCAATTCAGAAAGTACGCATGTTGTCACATTCTAAACTACAACATCTGGTAAGTTGACATTAAGTTTGTTGGGGCTGTCAGCCTTTGGTATGCAGCATCATGTGATATGAAATCATTCTATCTGAAAACGTGAGGTTTTTTAGAAGAGATATGAAGCTCAGAATCGGCTCAGATGTCGCTGTTGAGCACATTCATTGTAGAAACAAAAATCCAGGATATATTTTACTTTGATGCTGGTGCCCTATGCACTGTAATGCTGAGAAAAAATTTCTCATGTTGCAGAGAAATGACAACAATGATCATGAAAGGATCCGGAGTGGGTTTCGTTGCCACTCTGTTCGCATCGATTCTGTTGATTTTGAACAATGGTGAGCTTACGAAGGCTTACGATCCTTATGCTGTGGCAACCACCTCATGGATGTCAGCTAAAGCAACCTTCTACGGAGGACAGGACGCTTCGGGCACTATGAGTAAGAATCCGAAATTCCATGACTTACAAAGATCTATATGTTGGACTAATCACTCGTCTGTAAGTCATCAGTGCAAGAAAGGCGACGAATTGAACATAACTATCGGGTTTCAGAAAGTGCAATTCTTGTGATCTGGACAGTCCAGTCAGAAACTGGGTGTATCGTCTAGCTTAGCACATACACCTTCGTTATAGAAGGTTCTTGACCTTGCTCTTGGTGTGCCTAGTCGTAAATTGGCTGCAGAGATTTTCTGAGTGCATGAGCAATGAGTGAAGAAAAAGAAGCGTAGTTCTATACTCACAAAGATCGTATAGATACAATTTCCTCGGTGGTAAAGATTTCCAGCCACTTCGTCAGTCACATGTTGATTGTAACGGTTCATGTTGAGCTGGAGATAATTGCTTCACCTTGGCTAGGGCTGTGAATAATTCATTGGTTGACCCAAAACCCAGTCCTCTCGTACTAGGGTCGGCTTCTCGCAGTTCTCTCTAAAACACCAACGGTAGATAGGAACCGAACTGTCTCACGACGATTTCAAACTTGGACACTGCAGACGGAGGATGCGGTTATGCTAACCCATTCACTCTGGGCTACGGGGCTCAGACTGCAGCTCTGAGCAATGCCCTGTTCAACAAAGGATTGACTTGTGGAGCTTGCTTCGAAATCAAGTGCGCAATCACCGCAACAGCCTACGCCAAGCAGTGGTGCTATGCGAACAGTCCTTCCATCTACATTACCGCTACCAACTTGTGCCCACAAGGTTCTTATGGGGGCTGGTGTAATGGAGCAAACCTGCATTTTGATCTGGCATACGCGGCTTTCACTAAGCTCGCCAGGGAAAATGCAGGTGTCATCCCCGTCAATTACCGCAGGTACGTCAACCGAATAGCTCGAACTCTTCCTAATTCCCCCTCCCTCCACAAGCATCAATTGGGAGCTCAGTTGCAGACAGTGTCACAAAGATTTCATTGCTGTAACATGCCTCAGATTGAATGATCCCAACTTCTCAAATCTTGCAATTGTGTGTTACCACCATTATATCATTAGTGCAGCACACATGTCCATGTCATGCCCCCTTCCTTCAGAAAAAATATGGGCTTTGAGTTCTTTCTCCCGATAATATTTCTCAGAAGAAGTAGGATTTCCATATTTTTAGGTGTAATTGCTGTAGGCATATCCTTTACAAACTGAATTCATGACTGTCAATTATATTTAGTCCGTTCATCCTCATCTGATCCTGAACAATAAAAACATGTACACAATCCATAAGGAGCTAAGATTTCAGCTGCAAGTCTTGTTGAGATACAACGAAGATTTGGGTGAGTAAACAATTCTGGATCCATGAATTTTGTGCAGGACGCCATGCAAAAAGTCTGGAGGAATTAAGTTCCAGCTGAACGGAAACACTTACTGGAATTTGGTTCTGATCTACAACGTCGGAGGCGGAGGAAACGTCGCTGCTGCGGCGATCAAGGGATCCAGATCCAACTTCTATACCATGAACCAGAACTGGGGCATGAACTGGGAGTCTTACTCCAACCTGGTGGGTCAGGCTCTGACCTTCAAAATCACGCTGGGCAACGGCAGAAGTGCGACTTTCTACAACGTCGCGCCTGCAGGCTGGCGGTTTGGACAAACTTACCAGGCGGCATACAACTTCTAAGCAACCGAACATTAATACATGAATGATTGATTGATTGATTGATTGATTATGACAGGTAGCTAAATAGGTTCGAGCAATCTGGAGAGGCGTGTAACATGTATGTCATCTGGACATTAGTTCACTTTCACCTGCGCCCACAGTTTGCACGAGTTAGCAACATAGCTTTAGCATTTAGCGTCCCATAGCTTCTCAGCTGACAGCGCAGTCCGATAGCAGAATCTGGAGCTTGTGTTCCATCAGATAGTCTAGCTCATCTTTCTGTCGTCTATTTGATGAATGTAGATCCCATCAGTCAAGAGGTGTGAGATGATTAAAATGTTTTGAAACCCCATGGCCGCTGGCAGGTCAATTGCAATTGTAGAGCAGCTCATGAGCGGCCCCGGAGTTTCTAGAACTCCGAGGTCACCTTTCTCCTCTTCCAATGCGCGTGCCTGCGAGCAGTGCAGGACTTGAGAAGGTACATGCTCGTGGCGGAAGAATAAGACAGTGCTCGATAGGAGCATGGATCCATTTTAGTCTGATAAGATATTGTTGATTAGGCAGAGCTAATGAGGCTTTACAGAAGAGGTCACGGCCCCAAGAGGCCTCCCGCTGCGAAAAGTCCAAGCAGTTGCTCGAACATGGTCCCGTCGAGACCATCCTTTCTTCTATCTTTCAGAAATGAATAAAACATCTGCCAGTCGGCCGAATTTGTTTCTATCGATCCACAGATCAAACTTGCAGCCCCTCGAGCTCATTGCTCCCGTGATTGCCCAGAGAACTAATGGGACGTGCAGCTCATAAGGAGGACCTCAATTTGGAATGATTGTGGAAGCAACAGGAGAATTTACAGTGCTGGACACACTCCATCACCGCGTGCATATGTGAGCCGGACCTGGACTTGTCACAGTGCGAATCGAATTCTGAACCTAGTTGCTCACGATCGCCATGTACGTGAGCCCCTGCTCTCATAGACTGCGCCGACTACATCGGCGATGAACTGCTGGGTGCCCCGATGAGTCTGCCAGGTCATCAACCGCAACTCTCTACTACAGCTCGCGCAAGTGACATTCCGGCCGATGACGTGTTTGCCAGCTCATCTTGCCTGTCTGACGCAGATCATGTCGTTGTGCCGGTGCCTACAGTGACATGGCTAGTCGCTAATCGTCCCGATGAATTCTCGAAGGTCATTCGATAGGATTATCACTTTTCGAATTTCACTGAATTTATCGTGTAATCATCCAACGAGGCGTATTTCAGAAACCGTAAAAGAGCACAATGTAACATAACAAGGGAGGACTCGATGGGAACATCCCATCAAGTTCTCCATGAGTGCAACCGACCCCGCAACTCGAGGCTAGGTACCTAATCATGTACAACTGCTTCTACATAGTTCGAACATTATTTGCAGTGTCTCAACTATCCAGGTAATTTTGTTTTGGGGTATTTTGGAATACCACAATAGGACACCCAATATTCCTGGAGAGTTGGACTTTCTTTCTAGTGCCTCTTGATGCCAAGTCTAAAAACGTGTGAAGATGGCTGCACCCTCTGAACGTGACCTCTAGTACAGTACAAATATTCATGTGTTCCTCGGCAGTCTGTTTTTTGCTGTAATCATCGCGGGCATAATATTGTAAATGTCGAAGTTTTGCATTGCAGATCGGAAGTAATTGGTCGCATGGAGTGCTGGAAATCGAGGCTTTCAAGAGTGCAATGAGTAGCCCTCTCACGTTTCTTATGATGTACTGTACCACTCAGATCCTTTTGGCTGCGTCACAACAAAGAATATTCCTTTTTGGGACGCCAAAAGGATCTAGAATTTCATTCGTCAGTTGGATCAATGTTCTTCTAGATACATCAGAACAAAGAGGCTGCACAACCCCAGTTGGGAAACATTATTTTAACCAAAACATCGAAATAGTTTTTTAGGGCTTTGTATGGGTGAAAGAAATGGGTAACATGGGTCTATCTCTGTAGCATGACATTATAATATATCTGATACTTTATCTAGTTTTTTCAATATATTGTGTCCAAAAATTTTACAAACAATGTAATACAAAAATTTACACCCAATGTCAGTTTGGTACGTGAAAATTAGCTCAATCCAATATAGATGGGTTGTATTGAGAATTCACCAAATTAAGTTGAAAATTTCTTCTGCAATAACTACGCAAAAGAGAAGAACAATGTGTTAATGCTGTAACTTGAGAGTCGCGCATATTTCTCATGTTGGGTAATGCGTGTCTTCATTTCTTGTAAACTTTCAAATGACAAATGTATCAGCAATTATAAACTGAATAATTATCAAAGTCAAAAAGAATGTCCATTTAGCGTAAAGTTATCATAAATATAGTTCATTTCATCAATTGCCCATTCTTTTTCTCATATTTAACCTCATGTTACATATTCAAAAATCTAGATCCAAATGCTAATTTGAAGATATACGTATATTTTAATTATGATATTATTGGACACTAATCCCATGTTATTCGTTGTGTATCAGTGAACGGTTGCTGATTGTTATTTGAGAGGGCACTTGGTTCTCCCACGCGTGTGGAGCGCGTCCGACCGCAAGGCCCTCGCTGCTATAAAGAGGCGAGAGGTCTCTTTCCTACCGCCGGTGCTACTTTGTCGGCCGACGGTTCCGCCAGCAAATCGGGGTTGACTTTGTATAACCTTCACCGGATTTCTAATTTTGGAACACAGTCCTGCATCCAAAAGGACAAGACCGCAGAACATGGATTGCACAAATCTACATTTTTAGAAACAGAATCGATACGAGCCACTTTTGGGAACTCTTCAGATGCTCGATCCTGATCGTTCTCACCAAAGTCAGAACCCAACTCAGAGTTTGATCTCATACCCCGTTCCGATAAGAAGCAAGGGACGGGATTTTGCTTCGGCAAATTACATCTTTCACAGAAATTTTTACAACCTAGTCTTCAGAATCCTGCACGTTTTTCTCCCGCTGTTCTGTTTCTGAGCATGACTTGCAAACGACGTCGATATGTAATCACAGAGGTTGCATATCGGTTGGTGATATAGCGTGTTGCTGCTTTGGTTACAGGAACGAGTGGCGGAGAAGTTGAGGCTAACTACCTCGACATTTACGTGAGCTCCTAGTAGTGCACACACGTTGCTACAGCCGAGAAGTGCAAGGCTGACTATGAGGCATGGAGCTCGGCAAGGCAAATCAGCATGTCCATACAACGTGAAAGCAAGAATTGCGCGGGTTTGCGAACTGTTGAGCCATTGAGAATCACGCGAATGTTTGAAGTTCTGAATTTCTGAAATTAAGGTGCTGGCAGACCTTTTATTGAACACAATCAGTGGGGCCCAGTGATCACGTCCAGGCAAGAGCTTGCATTCTCCAGCGGGTGGCCTCTTTGAATGGGCGGGCCGAGTCCACGACTGCAGAATCTTTGCTGAATGCAAGAACGGATGGAAAAAATGGAGCTGCTAATCTACGTGCTGTACATGTAGCAGTTCTTCTGACAGCAGCCAGGTCTAGCTAGCTAGCTGGTTAATCAACTGCGCGCAACCAGTGCGCAAAACCATGAACGAGAACCCATCTGAAACGACAGATCTGCCAGCTTAGATGCTACAATCTTCTGCAATAGAATCGGACTACGTTGTTCCATTTTAGCTCTGCACGAGATCAGATCCTAGTGATCATCGAGATAAATTACACTAGCTTAGTGATCTTGGAGCACGGTGGGCGGAAGAATGTCAATATGACCACGCCTCTACTGCATGCTTGCTGTATATCTGTGAGTAGCTGTCTTCTGGATCTTATTGACGCATCTAAAATCCGTAATATCTATGCAGGCTGAAAAACTAGAAGTTGTATTTCGTCTGATAAGTTTGGCCGAATTTCCAGTTGGATGCTACAGCATTCCAGAATGTCACAGTTCTGCCGTTCCCCAGAGTGACCTTGAATGTAACGGACTGACCGACGAGGTTACAGTAGGCCTCCCAGTTTTGGCCCCAGTTTTGCTTCATTTGCATGAAACCGGTTCTCGACCCCTTGATTTGCATGGCATGCACATTTCCCCCGCCTGCCACATTGTGCACGAGCACAAGGTGCCAGTAGGGGTTTCCGTTCATCGAGAACTTGACTCCTCCATTCTTCCGGCAGGGTGTCCTGCAAACGTGATTGTTCAACAATGTCAGGCAAATGATTAATCATCACTTTGGGGTCCTAACTCAGAAAGTTAAACCGCAACGAGATTTCTCCACTGGATTAAAAAACATCTGAAAAAATCTTTAAAACATCTTTAAAATCTGACTGATGAGTATATGGCTCAGTCACATGTAAATGCAGCTTCAAATACAGGGGCAGATCTTACCTGCGGTATTGGATGGGGATGACACCAGCTTGGAAGTTGGCCAGGCGGGTGAACGCAGCATATGCCAAATCGAAATGGCTTTTGGGTGGATCACACCACCCTCCATGAGAACCAGGAGGACATAAGTTAGTTGCAGTGATTTTGATAGATCCAGCCTTAGGATAGCACCATTTCTTGGCATAAGCAGTGGCACTAATCTTGCACTTTATCTCAAAACAGGCACCGCAAGTGAGTCCCTTATTCCAGAGGGCTGTGCTTAGAGCTACAGTCTGATCACCATATCCCAAAGCGAAGGGATTGGCATAGCCGCATCCACCGTCTGCACGACATTGATAAAGGTTAGCCTTCTAGGATGATAGACTCCAAATCTTGAGGCAAAGATATTATCTAAAACTGCGGAAAATTATAATCTGCATATGCTACCGAGTGGAACGCCCATTCAAGGTTTACTTACTCATGGTCCCAGAAGCGTCGTTGCCACCATAGTAGGTAGCTTTTGCATCCATGAAAGTGGTAGTAGCCACAATTCTGGAATCTGCAGCATTAGACGGGACAGCATTGCTGATGGCCACGAGAATTGTGGCCAGCACAACGAACAGGCTCCTGGTAGAAATCTGTGCCATTTTCCTGCAAACGTGAAAGCTCTCTGTCAATTATTTGAGAGGATTTCAGAACCACCCAAGCCGAACTACTGCCAACTGAGGGTATAATTGAAAGCGCAAGGAGATAGTAGAAGTCCTGTACAATCGACTGATCACACATTTACGTCGATTGCCACTACCAGGAATTCGAATGAACTATTCAATCGGGGCGGGGCGGTGTGGTGATGTCTAGCCCAACCCATTTTACAGAAACCGTCGCCCGTGAGAACCTCGGTTTCTCAGTGCATATAGTGTTCTCAATTGTATCACCAAGTTTCCGAGAGATCTCAAGTAGAAATATTCTCTCAATATCCAACAGCATGCGGCCTAACATTGACTCAGGTGCCCGACAGTCCCTGGAATCCTGACTACTAATCCGCGGTAGTCGTCTAAGGCACTGCGCTGTCGAATGTTTCCTGGATATGTTTCCCAGAGGATCGCCATCGAGAACTGTGAAATAGCTGGCGATGGAGCGGAAGCATACCTGAGGAGACCCCAACCAGCTGTTGTAGCTGTTGCTGCTGTTGGTGCACGAGAAACTAGTGAGGAAGGTCGATCCTCCCCGAGAGCGCTGGCTGGGACTGAGTAATGAATATGGAAAGGTTTGACATTAAGTTCCACTTATATGCCAGTGCCCGGGACGATGGAGAACTGGAGAATCTCCAACCTGAACATCACTCCCGAATTGGCCCATCCTGTAACAGGGGGCGGTGACTTTCTGTTCATTCCTTCCAACACTCCTGCGCCTTCTCCGGTTCCTGCGCAACCGCCATTTTTGCAAATCATGCTGCAGTTTGGCCCTTCTTTTCTCAGCGAGTGAGCAAACCTTTAGGCCGCCGCGCACATCACGGTCTCCCGAGTCGCTCAAGGCGCATACCAATGTCAACAGGACACCTCGTGGCGCTAGAGACACCGGTTCCTGAGGAGGCCTGCAAATCCCGTCCATGATGTAGCACCGCCGTCTCGAGGATCTGTCCGCATTGGGCTCGTGGGTTTTCACAGCTGTAAAATTGGAGATCGCCCTGGAATGGCTCCGCCGCAACAAGTCCACAGGATGATAGCGAAAAGCCGAAAACAGCATCCATGTCGATGTTAAATTTAGCCCGAGAGTTGCTCCTCCATGCGCTGCTGGCGCAATAGCGAACTGCACATTGTTTGGGAGTGAAGGCTGGCAGGACGGCGGCATGAAGGCCGAGTAGCACTTTTGGATATCGGTCCATCAAATTCGTAAGGGGGTGTGGAGATGGGTCGAAAAGCATCCGCAGGTAGCCGAGTCATGCGCACCTTACTGAACAAAGTCGAGTCTGAGCGTCACACGTTTCTCGTTTTCCGCGTACGGAGAGAGAGAGAGAGAACTGGGACATCATCAGCTTCGAAATATCTGAAGTCACGTTCTACTGGAGAGATGCAGATTAGCGTTCTTCGCTATTTCAGCAGACAAATGTGTTTCGCACAGAGCAAGACCCAATGTCGAACAAAATCTCTTCTCGGCTTCGTAGACGAAGGTGAGTCGAGAATTTCTTCAAGCTACGTTGCATCAGACTTTTGGGTTGCATGAGACAAATTGTGCTCAGTCTGAATTGGGTGCTGAAACTCGAGGAAATTGGCCAATCACCACACAATTCTGCAGTGTCTGTCGCCAAAGCATGTGACTTTTATACTCTCGGATGCAGTCCTACAGGATTCTCATTAGAACCGTCCACTCTCGGATTGGCGATCAATAGAGCTAGAATTGAAATTTAGCAAACAGAGTACTGGAGTCATGGACTGGAACAAGTGAATAAATGTCCAAAGCTCGAATCCAATCTGACCTGGAGATTTTCATCCATCGCTGCTCTGTCTTAATTATCGCAGACTTTATGGCAAGGTTGCGAACGCGAAGGTGTACATGCCAATGAGCGTGTGGCTATGTAGGCTTAGCTCTAACTGTGATGACGACGTTGGACAGCCTCGTGATATATCGGACTTTAAATAGTGGCAGTGATTGAATGATTCTGATAAGAACCTCACCAGAATATCCGTGAAATAGCTCGTAATATAGATCAAAATGTTGCTGAGAACGATGACTATTTAAAAGACTTAGTGCAAATGAAAGGACCAAAAAACTTTCTGCTGAAGCCTGTGGATACAAAGAACCTGCCCTTCCCATATACCGTCACTTATGTAGAGACATTACTTACAGTCTTTGAGTGCTACCACTGAACACGATATGAGTCGTCTCCCAAATATCAGCCTTGTATCGAGACTTGTAGGCAAGTCCACAAGTAGTAGTATGCGGAAAGGTGAAATAGATCGTAATGTCAACCAGGAAAGAGTGACTTAACCTCAGATACGCATTTCATGTCAGTCATTTTTCAGGGAGTTCGTGATCTGAAATTTGTCGGTAACAAGCATGGTTCGAAGCGAGTTGCTTCATAATCGACTTCGTCATGACAGGTCAAAAAATTTTTCAGGCCAAGTATGAATCAGCACTGTAGATCTTTGAAGGTGTTTCGGAATACAAGATTTCTTGAATCCCGCAACCTTCAGCAACAATGCTCAGTAGACTCGTTTGCGCAAGAAGTCCACAGGTGGAATGCTTGCGCTAATTTTACCGATCGCCGATTGTTTTCATTCACGGCACGAGGAATTTCTGTCATGGTTTCGTAGATGCCGAAGTTGCAGTAGAATACGTGAGCCGGCGCTGTACACTCTCCTTTTGTAGGTACACTCTGTCGACGTGGTAGATCCCGAATATTCGAAACTCCATGCCCTCTGCACATATCCTTGAACGCAGTCAGGAGCACGAACCAAAACGAGGACACCCAATGAAGCAGACACTGCGTGCGATAATAGTCCTCCAGTCCACCACCACCACCACGAAAGTGATAAATCTGTTTTATTTGGAGCTTTTAACGCCGTAGTTACTGCGGTAGGCTGCAATCAGTCTAATTAGCTCATCCTTGCATTTTTGAGCAATTCCCAAGAGCATCGTTCTTTCTGTGGTAGATGCGAATTCATCTGTAGCCCAAGCAATCAGAAAAAACCATAAAATCTTTGCCTCACAATCTTCTCAAGGAATCGTGTTATCTTGAAACTTAGGACCTGCCATCTTAACTCCTGGACAAGACTTCGTGACCCTGGCTGGATTATAACTGCAACTGGACGTCGTGAACCTCCAGATGTGAATTCCACGATCAAGAGAAAATTTGGAAGAGCATCCATGTGCTTAGACCAAAGGCGAGGACTAAAATTAGAGCACAAGGTGACAAAACGAAGCAGTGATCGATCGAGCCTCAGGTCGGAACAGTAAGAGAAGGTGAGCTGCAGTATCAGTCTTATTAAGCGTGTTCGTCAATAGAGCACCGCAGATACATCAATCCTTCATGTGACGTCTCTACGTACTCATCAAACAGGACTGCGACGGCCTCTAGTTACTCACCGATCGAACCATACGTATACTTAAACAGAAATGTGCGTATATGGTGTCAGTTGGACGATCTGTGATATATGTCCTATCAAAGGACCAGAAGGACATGCTTTGGGATCCATGTGACTTTCACATCCGCTGAAAGCTCATATCCACGCGGTCAGTGAGGTGTATCACGAAGTTACGCAACCTCTCGGATGCTCAGCTCAGTAGACTCGGTACAGCAGCTCAGCTCAGCTCAGCTCAGGAGTGGAGGAAGACGTAATGCCGGGCAGTGCTAGGCGCATGAACATGGTGCACATCTGGACAATCTGGCTCACCTACAACTACACTACAGAATCTGCAGCTGCTAATTGTGAAGCTGTGTATGACTGTCTCCCATGAAAAACTTGCAAATTCGAAACATTTTTAGCTCTGCTTATCAGGCCAGTATTGTTTCACGAACCGTAGCAGAGGCCTAGAGCCCCGAGCACTGCATCTTTCGCAAGCAATTTCGGACGGTTCCTCATAATACAGCTCGCTCATCACTTCATAGAACTTACTGACAGCCGATAGTGCACGGCTGCCACATCGACTTTATACTCCTCTTACTGTCGAAAGCACGGTATGGGATTTCTGACGGGATGACCAGAACTTGCTGAATGATCCATCGATGAATCTTTCAAAGGCGACCGAGGAAAGAGCTCGTGGGAAAGTATGGGACGTTGAGAGGTGGCAAATTTCTCTTCTTCCCATCCTTCTTGTCGGCTTTGTCGTTCGTGGAGCTATTGGAGGCCACCTGTTTGTGACTTTCGTCATTCGATGTGGGCTTAGCGTCTGCCACCTTGTTTCCCTGTTTTTTGAACGGATTGCTCCACTTGCTGGAGCTCTCCTTCGAATCGGCACCAGCTGAGCTCATTGTTGCAAGAAAGATTCGAGCAAAGAGTCAAACTCTGCAATCACAATCAACCAGCAATTCACCGCCCAAAACCTCACTCTCAAGCTTGACAACTGGCAGATCGAGGCTCGAAGTTCCTATTCAGAGATGTGCAGATGAAGAGAAAACGAGAAGGCGAGACAGAGGCTGAAAAATGTGCAGCACTCGCAAATTGCAGTCGGACGAATTTGATTATTGCGAGGTAGACGAAGGAAGAACTGATGAACCACGATCAGCAATGGTTCGACATCGAGCTTTATAGGACCTGCAGTGCTTGCCCCTGGTCAAGCAGGACTTGTGTCAGAAGGTCAAAAAGCATTGTCGACGTGAAAAAATATTTCACATCGCTGCGAATTCAGACCGATTATTTGCTAACGGCTCCTTGAGCTTAGCTTAAACCCCACAATTCGCTGGTCAAGTCATTTACAACTTCTGGACTGTAGTAGGAAACCTTCCCCTCATGGTTTTCTGTGACCCCAACTGTCACGTGTTCTGGGTAAAACAGTCCAATCCAGAACATCCCTTTCCTTCCCCAAAGCAAGATCTTTGAACCGGGTCAATGATAGAAATCAAACGCAGGAAGACAAACGTCCACTAACAAGGTGATAATTTAATATTTAGTATTTAGTACTTAGATTTGAAGGAAACCGTGTGCACAAGCACTAGAAGGACCTGAGTGATATCCCATTTCGGTTCTATGATTTATATTCTAATTCCTTGACATAGACCTCGCAGACTGCGACTCGCATCCAATAATAGATTGAAGATTACAATACGTCAACTCCTCTGACTTTTCAGTCTTTGGCTAGATGAAATGGTCCCTAGTGGATAACAATATTGGGTGGTTTAGCGTAGAAGAATAAAACCTAAAGGATAATCATCTTGAACACGTGTAATATACTTTACAACAACTAAAGACTACGAAGAATAACCTTGTTAACCGATACACAAACAAAAGCAGCGTGAACTGAGGCGATTACAATTCTATGCATAACATTATCTAGTAAGTTCTGTAGATAAGTGGAAACAACTCGCCTTAAATAATCTACCAAGTCTCGAGGAAAAAATAGTTTTCGACGTGTAACATGGTTGACTATTTTCTTGTGAACATGGTAAACACTACTTTACTTATATTTTTTTAAAACGAAACGATACTCCATGGCCTAATGAATGTAACAGACGCAAAGAAAAATAGTATATAACTTACAGAATGAGCCACATTTTTTAAATGCGGCGCATTCCTACTATATTATCCAAGCTAACATAAATTACTACATTTTCATTATCTTCTGATTATGTGTTGTGTAAAGCCGACAAAGCAGTTCAATATACTCTTCAAAGTTTCTCGAGTCTAACTATATCTCTTTATGTCTTAATCGTGGATATAAGACTATAGTCCAGAAAGTCCCAAATTATATAAGAAGATTGAGACAGTAATCAAATCCATGATGCAATAAGTGTAACTTGAGTTATCGACGAAGTGTTATACTCTGCGGTGTGATCCTTGTGGCAAGAGATGTAGATGTTATCACTTTCCTCACGAGAGAAAATGGTATGATCGAGACACGACATGTGTTTGTATTTCTCACATAGATCGTTATCCATTACAACAGGAAAAATGCATTACTCTGATAATGTGTATAATCAAAGCCATAGATAGCAGAAAGGCAAACAGAAGTTTTCCTGTATACCACCCGCAAAACAAAAATACTTTAATACACCACATGATGACTATTAAACACAGTAAAATGAAAGTATATTGGTTAATTTGTACTTTACTTTCCATAACTTGAATATAAAGTACCAATGGATGGAGAAATATCAGATTCAGAGAGAAGAAAGACCTAGCCGCAGTGTCTCAATTGATTGAAATCATTAAAAACCTTTATAATTAATCAATATACAAATAACATAATGTTCATTTTCGGATAGAGTTTTTTTATGTGCCAATTAGAAACCTCGAAACAAACTATCCATTTTAGCAAAGGTTATCACTAACAAGACTAATTTTTATGAGCTGATGCACGCCACAGTCGCCTCAGATGGTGGCCCCGCGCCTACTGTGTGGCATCTTTTCCAAAGTACATTCGATTCATGACTTGGTGGTGAGTGGGAAAGCTATCGCTCTTTACATTCAAAATTTGCACACTTTGAAAGTTGCCTTCACGCGTAGTCCTCCAAACTTTCATCGTTCTAGACTATGACAGGAGTCTTCGAAGAAGAACTTTCCCACACAGACTCAATGGACCATCGTTTGACCATTAACAGCAGGTTCTCTCTCACCTTTCCTTCTTCACTTCGGCTTTACTCTTCCGGTGCAGCCGGTCAACGTGAGAGACTTTGGTCGATGTCACTTTCTGTGCTATTCCGGTCTGAAATTGATTTCAGACTATTTCCACAATTGTTTTGGTTTTCTGGTCTCTAACGAATATTTCGCTGGCTTCTCGATGAAGCCTCTTAAAGAAGCTGCATCGAGAAGCCATCTTTAGATAAGGAAAGGACAGCGTGTCGGGTAAAGTTCTCGTATTAACAAGGATACTCGAGTGCCTGTGATGCTAAACTTTGCTGTGCTTCGTGATGGGGATTTCTTGTGTGAACAAAGATCTACCGTAACGGAGATGTCAAATTTCCATCGCCAGACTGAAGTCCGTTGGCTTTCCAAAAGTCGCACACGTAGCGTGACATATACTCTTCCGCATCCTGGCCGTGCCCTTCCTACATACGGACGATCTGAAACTTGGCGTGACACGTACGCTTCGGGAGAGCAGAAGGCTTGTGCATCACGCCTCGTACGCGCTACGAGAGTCGCGCGGCTCGAGCGTCAGGTGATGCAGGGCTGCTGCTCGAGTAGGGGCTCGTGGGCGGATGACAGACTCTCTGGCTATGGCGCGAGACATCCCGAGACCCGACGCTCGAGGCTCAAAGCTGGTCTTCACACTAGGCGGTATGCACTTGTCGATGGCAGTCGACAGGATCTAGCCGATTGGAAAGTTTTCTATCCGCTCTTTTCGCATGAACGGAGGGCAATCGATCGTTTGTCCAGACTTTCTCGAGATTCTGAAAACGTTCGGTCTAAGCAAGCTGCGAGCCAGTGCATTTGTGCCAGCGAAAGATAGAGAAAGTGCAGATGTTATCCTGTGACCAATAATAAGTGTGGGAATTGGATTTAATACCTCTCACTTGTTGGGAAACTACGTCGCCATGGCTCGAAGTCAAGACAGACTTTGCAAATACAGTCGATGAAGATTGATGATCTCACTTCAGCGTTTTATCGAATTTTTTTGTTGGTGCCCCTCTATATACACGAAACTTAGAAGTGGGTTTGAAACTGGAGAGTATCTTCATTGCCATGCCTGCGGTGGAGTTTTTCACTATGCTTGGAAGTAACCTAGATCCTATTGTTATGATTCCTTTACCTCATAGAAGTTTTATATTTGTGCCCAAGATATGTCACTGGTATTTTCCTCTTGAACTTTCTCACTATACGGACAAGAAAACAGTATAATTTTTCTAAAAATCATTAATATTATTAACAGAAAATAATTCCCAAAACACGGGATTCATGTGGAGAAGAGGTAATGAAATTATTTGCTTGCGGAATCTACTATTATTGGGAAAAAATCGATAATGGACTGAAGTTATTCAGCAGAAAGAAATGTTACTAAACTCGGGCTGAGTAACTGCAGGGACGTGGAACGTTCACAGTTTCTACACCAGGATTCGGTTCAGCACTATACACTAACCCAACTTGTAAATCAATAAATCAATCTACATTGCACCGTAACAAATTACTAGCAGTTTCGCACATGACCCAATATTCTATCCACGTGACTGTTACATTGTTTAAAGGATCTTATGTGTAATCGTGGTTCGGTTGATTTTTCGATTAAGTTAATCTAAGATTAGAATAATCACAAAAAAATTCAGATAAACAACCATCAAACATGTAGTTTAAAAAAATTTACATCTTTTCAGCCTTGAATGTACTATTTTTAAATCTAACTTGATAGATACCAATGACATATACCGAAGATTACAATCTAAGTGACTTGTTTTAAATTGTAGGCACTCTACTCAACTCTTTTCTCTGAGTCAAATACATTAAAATGGATATTTTAGTACAATCTTCGTGTAAGAAAGATATAGATCAAGTAGACATGAAGCAATCGAGTGTTACTTATGCGACATTGTCCACACTCGCAGATTCATTAATATTCTTGATGCAAGATTGCAGTTAGCCATCCTTCGTATCGAATGGGAATATCTAAACCTAGACTACAGTCCCTAAATTTGTATTTATAAGTTACTCATCCAGAATCCTTCCAATTACAAGAGGTTTACATCCCAGAAGTTAACTGTAATGGATACTGATCAACTTGTTTCTACAATACCTGCAGATTTTAGATCTGTACAGATATTCTTTCATGATAACATTTATCAGTCCCGTGAAGGAAATGTTGCAGTTTCCATGGGTTTGGGGGCGTACTGGAACTGGGAAGTACACCAACCAGTTGTTGAAGTTCGGCCATGGACTTTAAGTTAGGATCCGATTTGTACGAATAAGTCGGACTTGCCCTGTGACGACAAATATCTCTCTCTTGTACCAAGTCAGCTACTCTACAGTTCATTACCATGTCTCAAATTTTATTCAGTTCGTCAAAGTGGTCCGGCATTCAGTGTCAGCGCGATGTCATACTGATGCTGAGGTTGAATCTTCTTAAATAGGAGTTTGCTTGCGCACCAATCTGGCGCATCAAATCAGTACTGTCACACACTTTGCCAAGGGAGGAGGAAACTATATATTTCGCTTCAATCTCTACAATCGAAGCACTTCAACTCTCCTGACTACGTTGTCTCAGCTCAACAGCCCTTTTCACCTCAATTCCAGTCGATTCTAAATACATACTGTGTAACATTTCATTGTATTGGCTGTACTGATCCTCATCACAGTGAAACATTTTCATTCCTGGTTCTAGAGATGTGGCATTCACATATGGTCACTACTATTGTAGATTGCTACGCTTGCTTCATTGTTCTTGTGTCTCAGAGCCTTCTTGTCCTTTCAACCAACCTTCTGTCCCAATAACATTCTTGAAACTCTAGCTAATCGAAATATCTACGAACTTCTTACCTCTCCCTGATATTCTGGGACTCTGTTCACGGCAGTTTGGAAATCCGTCTGTTATTGTGCATATCTGCAGACGTCGTCGTCTTTCTTTCAATATTTCTGGTGCCCGAGAAGAGAATTTGCAATTACCAGTACGTTATATCATCTGGAGGATAAGGAAAAGCAGTGGTAAAGTTGCGTCTGCTAATCAAGACACGGAGGATCAAGGAGAGGAGAAGCTCCGAGAAGCGTGATCAGACTGTTTACAGATAGTTCGTTGTGAATCGATTCCCCTCCGGTCAATGACTGCGAAGAAGATGCCGAGTGAAACTCTGAATTTGGGTCCACATTCCCTCGACATGGAGAAGGGTAATGCAACTCTTCGATGGTACACGAAAATGTATCGGTGGCTGCTGAACACAAGTTCTAAAAGCCAAGTCGGTTCTTCAGATGGGTTTCCAGATTCTCCTCGGAAGCATGAGCCGAAACAACAAATTCGGAAGAGCAGGAAGGTGAAAGAAGATACACTCCCTTCCTACACTGAGTCTGTAATGCATTTCTCATCAGGTCAATGGCTGTCTCGAATCTGAGACAGCCATTGACAGTCTGAAAGTTCGACCTGCAATACTAGTACTTATCTCTTTGATGATGAAGCAAAGGATCATCACGAATGGCAAATTTCGCAATCAGGGCGATCTTGTTCGTCAGAGGTTGGTCACGGTAGCTGGGTTACTACGGTAAATTACATGGACGCTTTCTAGGAAGCAGATCAAGATGCGCTGCTTTTGCTGATCGAATTCCGAAATCTTTCCCAAAAGAATTTCAAAGTTGAATGAGGCTCATTCTGAGTCTTAGACTGTACATCATTCTGCTAACGTTTTCCCTCTGCCTGTTCACGTGAGACGGTCATCGTCAAGCGGCATGTGCATGTTAGCTTCTGAGTGAAATTCGAAGAGACCTGCACAGATCTTTCAGTAATTATAGAGCTACTACGAACCTGCGAATGTGTAAGGTTCGTAGTAATGGTAGCTTCACAAACGTCGAATGTACATAAGACTTGGCTGAATAGTAGCATTTGAAGGCGGATATTTTCCAAATCAAAGAGGTGTTTGATTTCTGGTCATATATAAAGTCTTTGCTGACTCCAACAGCATTACATACAATTATGCGTTCTTTACCCGAGCTTTCCTGAATGCTCGTGTATTGCCCAGATTGATGGATAGATTGTATGCCATTGTTCATATGATTGAAGACTTTGTACAGTTTTAATTCGTTCAAGGGATGAATGACTGCATATGTCTCAAAAATAATGATGCCACAGAGCACCATTAGGATCTCCACTGGTCAGCCTACGGTGTGAGATAATCTTTGTGTGTTACTGGAAGAGTTTGTGTGTTACTGGAAGCGTCATGTCCAGGGTGTCGCATGATGGTCTGTCACGGACTCCTCCAAGCCATGGGCGACCAGTCGCCCCCCCCCCCTCCCCTCCGCGCCGTGGCCGGCACCGTGACAACGGCGGCCAAATCGTTGTCCACCACACTGTCAAGGAGGCATTGGGGACCTTCAAGTACTCGATGCTGACCAAGACAAACTATCCGGAGTGGGAGCTCATGATGACCATCAAACTCCTGGTGCAAGGCCTGTGGGCAGCAATCGAGCCCGGCAACATGGAATACAACGAGGATCTTCTGGCGCTATCGACCGCTCAATCCCGCCGGAGATGTTGTCTACCATCGGGAGAAAACCCACGGCCAAGGAAGCGTGGGAGGCGGTCAAGATCATGTGGATGGGTGTCGATCGCGTTCGCAAGGGCAATGCCCAGAAGCTACGGCGCGACTTCAACAACATCGCCTTCAAGGATGGAAAGTCCGTCGACGACTTCTACATACGCATCACCGGCCTCGTCAACAACCTGCGTCTCCTCAACGACACCATCAACGAGATCAAAGTAATGCAAAAAATGTAACAGGTCGTTCTTGAGCGGTTTGATCAGGTCGCGATCTCCATCAAGACGCTACTCGACGTCGGGATGACTGTCGAGGAGATGACAAGGCGATGGCGCGCCGTCGAGCAGAGACATGAGGCGCGCAGGCTGATTGTAGAGATGGATTCGCGGCTACTCCTCTCCACCAAGAAGGAGGAGATGATCCGTCACATGCGGCGATGAGAGACCGTGTCCGATGGCGGCGACAACAATGGTGGCGGCGGCTTTGGCAACAGTTCCGGAAGTTCGCGTCTCAGCTTGTCACAACCAAGTCGTGTGCGTGAGGTGCCACGCAAGGCCGCCAAAGGGGAGCAGTGCCGCTACTGGAAGAAGTATGTGCATTGGGAGCGTGATTGCAGGAAGAAGAAGCGCGACAAGGCGGCGAACTTGGTTCAGGCGCAAGAAGAAGAGGAGGACAAGCCAGCCCCCATGATGGCCCACGTGGCGTCGATCATCTCACCAGCGCATGATGAGGTGGCGATCGCGGACGGCCGAGTCTGTCTCAACGAGGAACGGGCCACAGTGCAACGGGGGGCACTGGCAAGCTCGAGCAAGCTTGCGGAGTCTGGTACTTGGAAACGGGCACATCGAACCACATGACCGAGAACAACGCAGTCTTTCTCCGAGTTGGACCGCGGCATCACCGGTACGGTGAAGTTCGTCAACGGTTCCCTCGTGGACATTCTCGGGCGCGGCATGATCATCTTCTCCGCATGACGAGGGAGCCACTACGTGCTGATCAAAGTTTATTACATCTTACGTTTGCGTAGCAATATCATCAGCCTGGGCCACCTCGATGAGTTCGGTTGTCAAGTGTTGATCGATGAAGAAATCTTACGAGTGAGCGATCTGTAGAAGAGGCTACTCGCCAAGGTTTTTTGGTCACTGAACCGCCTTTACAAGATCACGTTCACCATCGAGTAGCTCGTCTCGCTTCTAGCACGCACCAACGACGATAGGTGGCGCAGGCACGAACAATTTGGACATTTCGGTTTGGAGCGCTTTGGAAGCTCGTTCATGGCGGGATGGTTCACGGTCTGCCACAGTTGGATCATGTTGATCAACTGTGCGATGCGTGCCTAGCCGGCAAACAGTGTCATGCGCTGTTTCCTTAAAAGGCCAAGTATCGGGCGACGGGTCAACTTGATCTCGTACATCGTGATATATGCGGTCCTATCAACCCGGCGACACATGGCGGACGCATCTACTTCCTCCTCCTCGTTGACGACATCAGCCGATACATGTGTCTAGAGCTATTGTCGAGCAAGAGCGAGGCTGTTGGCGTTATCAAGAAGTTTCAAGCCGGCGTCGAGGTGAAGACAAGACGCAAGTTACGCACACTGCGCACTGATCAGGGTGGA